GTTGTGTTCAAGAAACCAGTCTGAGATGATTCAGGCTTTATGACATGGTGTGTTATCCTGCTGGAAGTAACCATCAGAAGATGGATACACTGTGGTCATGAAGGGATGGACATGGTCAGCAACAATACTCAGGTTGGCTGTGGTGTTGACACAATGCTCAGTTGGTACTTATGGGCCCAAAGTGTCCCAGGAAAATATCCCCCACACCATTGCACCACCAGCCTGAACCATTGAGACAAGGCAGGATGGAGCCATGCTTTTCTGACCCTACCATCTGAATGTCGCAGCAGAAATCGAGACTCATCAGACCAGGCAACGCTTTTCATTCTTCTATTGTCCAGTTTTGGTGAGCCTGTGTGAATTGTAGCCTCAGTTTCCTGTTCTTAGCTGAAAGKAGTGGCACCTGGTGTGGTCTTCTGCTGATGTCGCCCATCCGCTTCAAGGTTCGACATGTTGTGTGTTCAGAGATGCTCTTCTGCCTACCTCGGTTGTAACGAGTGGTTATTTGAGTTACTGTTGCTGTTCTATCAGCTCCTAACAAACTGGCCATTCTCCTCTAGCCTCTGTCATCAACAAGGCATTTGGACCCACAGAAACTGCAGCTCACTATTTTCTCTATTTTCTTTTTTCGGACCATTCTCTGTAAACCCTAGAGATGGTTGTGCGTGAAAATCCCAGTAGATCAGCAGTTTCTGAAATACTTAGACCAGCTTGTTTGGCACCAACAATCATGCCACGTTCAAAGTCACTTAAATAACCTATATTCTCCATTCTGATGCTCGGTTTGAACTGCAGCAGATCATCTTGGCCATGTCTACATGCCTAAATGCATTGAGTTGCTGCCATGTGATTGGCTGATTTGACTTTTGCATTAATGAGCAGTTGGACAGGTGTACCTAATAAAGTGGCCGGTGAGTGTACACAAATATATTAATAATATTTCCTTTACTATCATTGATAGTGTTCATCATTTTTACATAATCAGAACTTACTGTTTGTTATTTTGCCAACATATACAGTAATACTAAATCCAGACTCTTGCCCATTCTGGTTAGCCCCACCTTTGCTACGGCAGATCACACGGTCACGTGACCAACACTCACACCAGCTGTATTGTAGAACCTCCATGTTTAAAACAGAACTCAGTATCTCCCTGTAGCTCCCGTTGCCCATGACCATAAAAGGCGACACTTAGCAGAGGCTCGTTTTTCTAAGTTTGACCTCATAAATGTCACATTAGTCTCCATCTGTCACATAAAACTCCCAAACTGAAAACTGCTCTTTGAGCCAAAAGGACAGTAATTTGTGTTTTCCTTTTTTTTTTTTTTTTTTTTTCCGTCTGAGAACATGGACAGCACAGTGGCACACAGGAAGG